AAAGATTAATAGTTTTTTTTTTTTTTTCTGAAAATTCCTGTTAAAATATCAAGGGAAAATTACTATGTAGTCCCTCGATTTTAATCAAATACACTACTCAATCCTCACTTTTTAAAAATATATTAGTATACTCCTAGCTTTTAGACCCGTCCAACTCTTTAGTCCTTCTGTCTCTTTTTGTATATTCTTCCGTCATTCAAAAGATTTTTTTTTTTTTTTCTGAAAATTCCTGTTAAAATATCAAGGGAAAATTACTATGTAGTCCCTCGATTTTAATCAAATACACTACTCAATCCTCACTTTTTAAAAATATATTAGTATACTCCTAGCTTTTAGACCCGTCCAACTCTTTAGTCCTTCTGTCTCTTTTTGTATATTCTTCCGTCATTCAAAAGAGAAAAAGCTGGACAGAAGTGAGATAATTATTTTAAATGGCAAAAATACCCTTAACACACATGGAAATGATAAAGAAAGAAAAGAAATTGCAAAGAAATTAATTTTTAAAGAAAAAGCAAATTAGAATGAAAAGAAATATGAAAATAAATAAAAAAAAAGAGGTAAGTTAACATAAATAAAGTTATCATCTAAAGCAAATTTTATGGAACACCAGAGAAAATTTGAAGAATCAAAGATGGAGCAAATTTTAAAGATTTATAGGCATAAAATGACTTTGGTAAAGATAAGATAACAGAATTTGAAAAATTGAAATTTTTAAATTTTTGAAAATAAATAAAAAGCAAAAATAGAGCAAATTGAGTAAGTCTAACTATAGAAATATAAATTGTAAAAGGGAAAATAAATTTAATATTTAAGAATTTACTAGTTGTGGTTCAGTTGGCAACGCGACAGTAGCAGAGTTAGAAATATTTTCTAATGGGGTCATTTTATTTAATTTGATTTTTAGTGGATCAATTAGATTAGAAACTCCAAATTTTTCACTTACTGTATACTTTTTTTAATTTTTTTATCACTTTAATACTATTTTATAAATATTTTTTAAAAAATTGGATGGGTCAATGGACCCTGCTTCACATAATATGGCACCGCCCTTAAACACAGACTAGACATATAGAAAGAGCTTTCGAATTCGATCTCCACTAAAGACATCTGTAGGGAAGGGTGAGAAGCCTTAACTATCTTAAGTTGGATTTGACGGTTCTTAATAATGGAGTCTGAATATCAGTAATTTAAAAAAGAAAAATCGATGTTTAAGAAATGTCTCCAGCTCTTATAAATAAATAAAAAACAATACTGTAGGTACTTTGTCCATGAGGCAAAAATCATTTTCAAACCTGCATTTTTCGGCCACAGTCAAGACCATAACATTTTTTTTTTTTTTTTGGGAAAAACTTTCCATTTACATAAGTTTAAAACAAGCAATCCACAGGCAAAAAAAAAAAAAAAAAAAGGAAAAGGGAGTTTTTTTTTTTTTTTCTTCTTCTAACGCCACCACTTTCAAGATAGAAGAAAATAATAGAAAAAAAAAGCGAATAAATTTCTAAACCAAAAAAAAAAAAAAAAAGACTAGAAAAAAAAAAAAAAAAAAGAAAAACTAGACTAGAATTTTTGCATTATCCTCAGAATTTTAATTTTCAGAAGTTAAAGAAGAAAAGAATAATGCTTTGAACCCTCAACAAAAAAAAAAATAATAATAATAATGCTTTGTCCTTTATTAGGTGGAGTAGCAGATCATCTAATTTATAATCTAAATGAAAAATAAAACTGATGGATAAATCACGAAACAGAAGCCACAAAAACACGTATGCGTGATATACAGGTAAACCATAGAGGCACATAAAACATAAATCTAAGTTATGGAATCATAAATATCTCTTAAGCAAAACAAATCAACATTGATTTCGAATATTCTTCACGTAATAGCTCTTGCGCCAACAACTCATGCTCTATCAAAAACACAATGTTTTTTTTTTTTTAGTCTTCCGTTGTTTGACCTAAGCTATTTCTTTTAGACTGTTTGTATGGACAGACGATTATAGATATGAAAGATGAAAATAATAGAGACTAACGTTTAAATTTAGCCTAAATGTCTCTTATATATTTTCTAATTAAAATTAATTTTAATAAAAATAAGAATATATATATATATAACACAGCCACAACAGGGACCTACATGAATGAAATTAATAAGGCTAGCTTATAATAATAATATATCTATACAACCTATAAAATATTATTATAATAAATTATGAATTCTACTAAAAATTCATAATTGAACTCTTATTAATTTCGAATTTCCTAACATTAAAATATATAAACTTCTCGTGTTAAGATTACAAATACATGTCTATTTAATTTAATTGACAATTTAATTCCTCAAGAATTTCACTAAACTTATTTCATGTGTCAGATACAAAATCCATTCTCAAGGTTTTACCCAATAAAAACTTATAAGTTTCTCAAGGAATATCATTAATCCCTATACCGAGACACGAACTCTATCAATGAATTAATATTTCACAAATGCACATTATTATTATCCAATTCACAAGTTTATTACTCCATAATGAAACTTACTCTTTTAATGAATCAAACAATAGACAACGTCCAGTGTTAATAACAATCAAATCAAGATTAAGAGTTATATATATATATATATAAAATGATGAGCTAGAGAATTTATTTTATTTAGTCAATATAAAAATACTAATTCTCTACTTGATTCGGTTCAATACATACAATATGCAGCAACACAAGAAGTTGAATTTAATCATTTTCATAATTAAGATAAATTATATATAATCATGTGTTATAATCATATCAATGGTTTGTCAGCTCCATCTTAGATTATAAACAAACTTTATATCTCATATGAATAAAATAATTTAATCTTTTACGTATAGAATAATATCTATACATCAAATCATCCACTAGTATAAAATAAAAGACAACACTTAATTATAAATATACCATAAATGATTTATTAAATGTAATATCTCACTTTCATCGACAAGAAATAATTGCTACACTATTACAAAGGCATGGTTAATAGTATAAAGTCAATCAAAAACTTAATTAAAATGAAATGAAAACCTCTATTTTAGAAAGAGGAGGTTTGATTACTATGGAAGAACTGCATATCATAAATCGGCAATTTGGATCCAGGAAAAGAGCAAATTGATTTGTATATCACCAAATCGATGCTTCTCTTCTTCCCATTTATTTATCGGTATTCTTATTCTTTCTTTTAATGATAATACTAATGCTAATATTTCAGTTTAGCTTTTGCCTTATTTCTAAAAATGTTTATCGGTATTCTTATTCTTTCTTTTAATGATAATACTAATGCTAATATTTCAGTTTAGCTTTTGCCTTATTTCTAAAAATGGATATTTAGATCAGAATCAATAATCTCAGGATATGGAAGAGAAGATGAGAGGTTGAAGACGAGGGACAACTGTGTTGTGAAAGAGAACAGTAAAGAGAGAAAAGAGAGGGTGAACAGAGAAGGGATGATAAAAACTTCTTGGTTTTAGTTTAAATAGGGGGTATTTTTGTCTTTTTTTATGCAAATTAACGGTAAAAACCACAAAAATGGATAGAGTGAGTAAAAAATATGACAGAATCAAAAGTAAAGGATATGATCATATATTTTAGAAAAAGTGAGAATCAAATAGCATATATGATCAAAATAGAGGGACTAAATAGTAATTCTCCCTAAAATAAATTCATTTCACAAATTCAACATTACTCCCCAATTAATTACTAATCCTTCTTTCTACGGTCAAACCCTTCTTATTTGCTTCTTAGGTATAAACCATTTCTTAAATACCGGTTGGAGGAGGAATACAAATGATTGCTTGCACTTAAGTAGGCAAAAATGAATACTCTTAATAAAGTATTAATTATCATGGACTTGCTCACATGGAATCTATTTTGACCATTTAAGTGAGGGATTTAAGAACGAAAATCAAGAATGACGTGTAACCGTTGGATACTGGATGGTCAAATTAATTATAGTTTGACTAATCACCGTAGATTATGAATAAAAAAAATAATCAAGACATGGAATGGACGGAAAGCATGCGACGTAAGAGGGTTATGCACGTGCAGTGCAACATACCCTCCACGCCATAGCTTTTCTAAATTAAAATCTTTTCTTCGGAAAGTACCGATTAATTGCTATCACAGCATTTTTTTTTTTTTTTTTTTTTTAAAATCTTTTCTTTCGGAAGTAACCGATTTAAATTTGCTTCACAGCATTTTTTTTTTTTTTTTTTTTTTTTGTGATCTAGGAGTAAGGTACTACTGTACTAAAGTCCCATTTTCTAGCGATTTGTCCCATGCACCTGCCGACTTTTTTTTTAAACTACATTTTTAATTTTGTGAATTACCAAAATTGCCCATGTCTAAATTAACTATTAAGCAGTTAAATACTAATTACATAAAAAAAAAAATGGCTTTTTTTTTTTTTTTTTTTTTTTTTTTGTGAATCCTAGGAGTAAGGTACACTGTACTAAGTCCCATTCATGCGAGTCCATGCACCTGCCGACTTTTTTTTAACTACATTTTTATTTTGTGAATTACCAAATTGCCCATGTCTAAATTACTATTAAGCAGTTAATACTATTACATAAAAAAAAAATGCTATTTTGTCATTATATTCCTTACCAATTTGTTACTACTATATCGTATAACCTAAACCAATACTATAACACCACATTAAGCAGTAAGATAAAGGGATATATCAGTCATTTAAACAGCCACACTAGCGATCGAAAAAAAACGAAACAATGACAACTAAGAAGCCTTTGACTTTTCAACTTCAATCACTCTCATGACGTACCCTACTAAGAAATGCCACGTGAGGCAATTGAGCCACGATCAATCCGCCTATTAAATGGTTGAGTTGAGTACACCTCAAATTCCATTCACATCCTCCCACTCCCACATTCACATACGCACTTTGTTTTTTAAATCAAACCCGACATCGAGCTCATGCCGGTTCGGTTCATTAAAAGAACTCTTATATTTATATACACATTCATGTTTTTTAATCAATTGTTAAATCGAGTCGGTTTATCAAAGAGTTTAAATTGAATATTGTATTTATATCAAATTTCACTAAAAGCACTTTTAATAAAGATTTAAATTTTGATTTTTTGTTTAAAGAGAAAAGAATGTCAAACCACTGATTTTAACATATTTATTTATGCTATATATGATCACGTTTGTTTTTTTCATCAAATCAAATTGAATCAATTAATTAAAATGACCTAACCGATTGGTTCGATCTGACCTAAAAAACGCTGCAACACACGCACAATACACGACACACGCCAACATCAAGCCAACCCCTACCTTTCTTGGTCCAGACGGCTGGCAACCGCCCACGTTTATATCCAACACCGCACCTACGAACCCCTCCACATTTCTAGTCCCCACACACATGCTCTTGCACTAACTCTCACACACAAAACATACACTTCTTTCTTTCTCTTCTCAATCATAAATATAAATATGTTTACTGATGACCAAATGATGTTTCATCAGTATTCTTCTCGGCCATTGCCAATGGAAAGAAAGTGGAAATCCCATGTTGAGCTTGCTCCTAATTGCCCTCGTTGCGCCTCTACTAATACTAAATTTTGTTATTACAACAATTACAGTTTGTCTCAGCCTAGATATTTCTGTAAAGCTTGTAGACGGTATTGGACTAAAGGTGGTTCTTTAAGAAATGTTCCGGTTGGTGGTGGTTGTCGCAAGACTCGCAGAGCTAAGGCTGTTAGGGCTTCGCAGACTGATCGTGTTGTTTCTTTGAATAATTATAGCAGGGATTTAACCTCTTCTAGCGTTGACTCATTCACCCAAGAAAATCAAACCAGTAATGGGTCCGATATAGATTTAGCTGTTGTTTTCGCTAAGTTCTTGAATCAAGATTCAAGTGTTAACCCCAATGAGTTCTCGAATTCTTTAACTGTTGAAAAGGAGAAGGTGTCGGATCTGATCCAAGAATCTGATGATTTTCTTGAAGGTTTACCTCCAGTCTTGCTTGTAGAAGATGGGCAACAAGAAAATCAAGATAGTATTCAAGAATTTATAGAAAGTCCTGAAATGGATGCATTTGGGTTGCAAACCTTTCTTGGAGATCAAGAAATGGTTCACGAAGCTTTGTGGTCTGATCAAGAAGCTGCAACTTTATCAAATGTTCTTACATGGGAAAGTACTTTATTACAACAACAGCAACAACAAGAACGAACACAAGAATTTGATTCTTTTACAGTGGAAGATCAGTTAAAGGCTTCGGCTGCCAATCTTATGAGCGATATTAATTCTTGGTATTCGTTTGATCCGTCCGGATTTGAGATTTTCTCAAGACCTTAATTAATGCATATCAATTATACTCTTATTATTTATTCTATATATTTTGTAATTCCGGTTGAGGTAGAGACTTGATTTTTAGTTTTTCACTGTTACGTTCCCAGTAAAAAAGCCATATGGGTACAGATTAATTTACATATTAAATCATATATAATGCAATGAAATCATGTATATTGATGCAATTTATTCTATCTTTTCACCCATCAATTTGATTTTGATAATGAAAGCAAAATATTATTAAATAATATTAGTTTGTCTACTTATTTTGCTCTGCTGCTATGCTTTTTAGAGTTTCAAATTGTAATCAGTGCATGTTAAATAGTGGTAATTGCTACTTACTGATTTGGTTTTTCCAAATTAGTATATAAGGAAATTTTTGTTATTAAATTGTTGACCTTTGAACTAGTTTAGATATATGTAAGACAGTAAGAGCATGTTGAACAGAATATAATAATAGTGTATGGCTTGTTCGTTCAATTATAGAAAAGAGTTAGATATTTCCTTTCAGAAATTTATTCTTAAGACTTAATCCGTCAACAATGAATTGCTTAATATATAAATGAGTTTCAACTCAGCATTAACAAATTAATTAATTGTTTTCTCCTTCAAGACATATTAATTTCCTTAATTTAAATTTGAAATCATTACTGTTGCCTGTTGGGAAGACTTTAATTATCTAAATATCACATCAATCTAAGTTCCAAAATATGTGAAAAAAAATTAGTTAACCTAAACTTTGAAAAAAAAAAAAATTTCGTAATACCGAATTTTAAAATTGATCTTGTGACTCCCTTAATTTCACTTTTTTTAATAATTATATATCTCTTTATATTAAAAATATAAATTTTCATACTTTTGACTTTTATAGTAAAATATTAATTTGATATATGGTTATTACAACTTTTAAAATAATAATATTTATATATTTTAATTATCCAATAAGCGTTTAATCGATATAATTTATAAATTAAAGAATTCAATTAGTCAAAATATATTATTTTTAAAAATTATAATATTTAATAAGTCAAAGTAAAAATTGAGAGTACTATAAATTTTTTATAAATTACAAAAGTGAATTTATTTATCTAGCCAAAGAAAAAATTACAATATTTGTGGGGTTTCAAATATAATCAACAACTAACACTAATACTCTCTTCACTTTGTTAATCTTCGAAATTGAAAGTCAATCATATTGATAATACGAGACAAGATGGGCCACAATCCTGTGGCTAAGGTGGATCATAGTTGAAAATGGAAAATCATATCAAATCATATGAAATAGCTTTGTGATGATGATCAAAAAGATGAGTCCATATTTTTAGATTGAAGATTCCAGCAGATCCTTCAATTGAGATAAGAGTTGGCAGTGGTCTATTCAATGATGTTAAAGCCATCACATGCTATGACGTTTCTCACATGTCATCTCTGTTTCAAGACCATTTCAAGATCAGGAAATAGATTTTTATACAGAATTACTAATTAAGCACCGGGCAGTGATATGACCATTGCACCTAAATCCATCAATTCATCTGATGCGCATTTGTACTCAAATTATTTCAAAGCATGTGATGGCTTCAAATCTGCAACATTTAAATTAGCTGGTAACATTTCTGACTTAATCAAAACTTTACCTTTATTGATCATTGGTAACATTTTCATTTTTACCGAATATTTTTAATTTAAACCATTAGATAAATAATTATTAGTCAAGAGTTAATAGCTAACAACTAATATTATCATACATACCTTAATTGCAATTTAATTTAATTTTTTTTTATATTTTAACTACGAGATGTCTAAGCCTATATCTATTTACTGATGCATATATTCTGGCTATTCTTTGTTTGCTGCGAGACGCATGAAAGCTGAGTCATGTAATTTGATTTTGTATTTTATTCCTAAGGATTAATTAAACTTTTTAACCTTGATGTGAGTGTCAAAGTGGATATTACTATGGCAAATCTTGGGAAATTTTCATCTTTTAGTGATTAACACCAATTAAGGTTGAATAATTTAGGAGTTGTCTAGCCCAAGATGTTTAGTTTCGTTGGTTGGGCTTTCTCCCAAACTGATTTTGTTCCTAATCACAATGTATATATATCCACTACGAGACAACTTATAAATTAGTGGATTTAAGATAAATACAGCAATTAAAAACTTTACTTTAAAAAAAAAAACACTTTCCACCGTTGTCAAAGAATGTACGATGTACCTTAACTCAAATATATGTTCTTTTATAAAAAAAAAAAAAAAAAGATTCTACTATTTTTCCTTGGCCAATCTTGGATTTTATGAAAACCAAATTTATTTATTAATTTATTAATGATAATTTATGCAAAATGAAAATTTTTTTAAAATGATAAATCAATAATTGAATAAACTGAATACATAGTTTAACGTATGAACTTTAATAAAAAATTTTGTAGTACTTTAAATTTTATGATTGACCTTTTAGCACTTTAAAGTTGACCTTTTGTAATAATTTCACACATCTTTATACTAAAAACAATAGTTTTAAAGGTTTTTGTGTTTTATATGCAAAATATTAATTTAATATGTGGATAATACAACTTGTGAAATAATAATTTCTACATTTTTTAACTATCTAATAGCGTTTAATCAATCTAATTTTATAAACTAAGGTGTTCAATGAGTCAAATAAACTGTTTAACATATCTAATTTTATAAATTGAAGTGTTTAATAAATCAAAATAAAAATTGATAATACCATAAAATTCTATGTGAAAAGTAAAAAGGTAGAGCGTTGAGCGTAAACCTTAGGCTAGTATTATACATTTCCATTAGGTAAAGTGTTGCTCTCCTTTCAAGAATTCAGCTGAATATAAGTGAAATAAAGAGAAAATTAGTGGTAGACTTTTTATGCTTTTTTTTTTTTTTAATAATTAGTTGCCTTTTAGGTGGGTTGGGCTATCAAATGGAAAGTTTAGATTTGGGCTTGATCTCTATCAACTCCACTAAAATGACACTTGGGTTTGGTGATTTTTTGATAGATGTGGTAGGTGCCACATCCAATCGAAGTGTTAGTGTTACTTTCTATAGATTAGAATATTTGTCTAACTGCTCAATAGCTAACATTTACACCAAGTACATATATGTGTGGACCACTCGAGATGGCCCGGTGGTAAAGGCATTCAGGTCAGCGTTCGCCTGTTTGATTTAGATTTGATTTTCCACGGTAACATCTCGCTATATATGATGTTTAAATATTGGCTCTCTTACCAAGAGTTATGGGCTATTTTAAGTCGAGTTCTACTGTCGTAGGTGAGAACTGCAACGCTAAGATCCTGCAGAAATGGAGCATCATCTCCCATCAGTGCTCGGAGAGGGGAGAGGAGGGGTCGGTGCACCCTATAAAAATGTCTTAAATCGTCTATAGAAGTATTTTAAATCGGGACATCAACACCTGACCGGTGGCCTGAGCCGACGAAGACATCGAATAAATTTTTACTCTTTTTAGGTTGACAAAAAAAAGGTAAATATACGTGTGGTTGTAAGGTGACCCCAAATGCATAAATTTTACCTTCTACTTATTATATGATATTTTTAATTTTTAAAATTACACTTTGTTAAATATTTTTAATTTATAAAATTTTTTTATTGACGACTTTAATTTATAAAATTAAATGATTAAACATTTATTAAATAGATGAAAAACAACCAAATATATAAACTCGCTCTTGTATTCATAAAATACCTATAATACCTTCAACTTTTACTTTGACCAATTAAATATTTTACTTTAAAATAATCATTACTGAATAATGCTCAAACTTATAGAATTAAATCGATTAAATGATTATTGGATAATTGAAGATAGTTAAAAGATGTAAAATTTATTGTTCAAAAAGTCATATTAACTATATATCATATTAATATTTTGCATACAAAAGTTAATATCCTAAAAATTATTGTTGCTAATATGGAGAGTTGTGCAACATATCAAAATTCATAATTTCAAAGAGTACAATGGATCATCCGCAAAATTTAAAGTGTAATATATTTTTTTGATAATTGTACAAGAATAAATTTATGTATATTTTTTTGATAAAACGTGCAAGGATAAGTTACACTAATTTGGTGGAAGTAGCCTTAATAATTTGATTTAAAAAAAAAAAAAAAAGATAAACAGTGAATTATCTTGACAATGACGGAGCTTTAAAATTTGAACTTAATAATTGCTGTATAATGCTTAATCTTTAGTGTTTAACAGCATGGCCCAAGGTGGTGGAGGTCACCAATAAGTTACAACACCAACATCAAATATAATGGTTTTGATTGGAAAAAATAAATGTAAAATGTTTGAAAAATGCCTAATGATTTGAGATCCCATGCTTTGCCTTCAACAGAAGCACATAAGTGGCCCTTTACTTAATAGGGTATTGGGACAGTTTTAATTCTTTATATTGACCTATAATTTCAACTTTCAAGTCCTTTTTTCCCCCTTTTGCTTTAACTAATGCTCTTTATACTCTTTGTACTTGGAGAAATTAGTGTAGTGTGTTGGTACTTGCTGGTGACTTGAAGCTTGTCTGAAATCTTTTCTGCATACTCCTATCAATTAATTGATTTTGTTGCTCTTAATCTCTACTTAAGACTCTAATTATGCCACTTTTTATTATTGGCAAAACACTTAACCTTCCATCTACAATCTATAGCTCATCTGATTAAATCTTCATTTGAGATAGCATATATTCAATGTATTTAATATGAATTAATAAATATATCGAGCAATTAAATAGACTGAGCACAGCTTAAATTTCATTTTAAATTATTAAAATAAAAATAAATTTTGTTGATTTAAATATAACTAAGCCAGCTAACTTTTAATTTTTACATATCAATAAACGCATTTCGTATTTCATATAGTGATTTACCCTTTGTTCGAAATTAAATAATTTTGAATTGAATTACAAATGACCATCTACATAATCCAGCAATATCTTCACTCTAAATTAACATATATACAGTTCTAAATCCTTAAATCCATTAAAGAGCAAATGAAATTTATTTTTATTAAAAATAATAAATGGTATTAAGAATTAAATCCAAAATTTTTAATTTCAGGTACCTCAGCGTTAAACTTCATTTCCAAGTAGCAAACCACACAAATTTGGGGAAATAACTTTGCTAATAATTTGTAATTTAATAATATTTTACTTCACCTCATAAAGGAAAGAATGGTCAGTGTCAAAATATCAAATCAAACGAAATAAATAATAAAAAA